AGTATCATATAATAATTTGATTAATACCAAAAAAAAAACAGCGTTTCTAATTATTTTTGTTCCATATTGCCTCAAAAAAGTGTTTAGTTATATTAAAAATGTCTGTTATTTGTTGCAGTTACATACGTATTTAATTCGATTTTAATAACAAGCTGTATTAATGAATAAACATTAAAAAAATGATAACGATGTTTTTATTTTTGCTGCAAAAAAATATTTTTTCGAGGTGCCCGGGGTAAAAAACCATATTTCGCCCAAATGTCCGGGATTTTTGCTTTTTTGTTTATCCGGCGTTGACAACTTAGGTGATGGCAACCCTGGTTAAGATGCGCAGCTTCGCTGTACGTCAAATCAAAATTTGACGTTTCACTAAATCATAACTAAATAATGGCACCATCCTTTTTTGTCAACGTTTACACAAAATTAACTAGACTAATTGGAAACCATAACGTTAATAAGTTTTTGAACAGTCGAGGGAAGACGGCTAAACTTTGCTGTAGATTTAACACAGGAACTGGAAAAGGTCTAGTACCACGAAGGTCCCAATCATGTAACATAATCTTTGACAGAAAACTACTTCGAAGGAAAAAGAATGCTTTAAGTTTAACGGGAAGCAGAAGTCATAGCACTTTCTTCACCGACGAGTACGTGTCAGATGTGGTAATGGGCCCATCCCCCGATCCTAACAAGCGAATAGAAAAAGTATTAACCTCTAATGTTGTGAAAACTCCAAGTGGAAAAACTGCTTACAAACTGAACTGTTGTAAAACCAGTAAATCTCGGCCAAACGTTTACAATGTATTTCAAAAATTAGCTGACGAACACAACACAAATCATACCATTGGTATACCTGACAGCTTGCAACCATCGCACACCGCTGTAGAAAATCCTGAAGGTGCAGAACCCAAGTGGTCATTCTTCCTTAGATAATAATTTATTAAAAACTTACGTATAAAAAATTGAAATATTGGATTACATGTAGTCTTAAAAAACTGTAAAAAAAAGGACCCATTTTTTACAATATTATATCTATGAAGTAACTATTATAAAGCAGTTTGCCTTCAATATATACTGAATACAACTATTCTTTCCTAAAAAGATTAAAATATCAAAATGTGTTTATTACTCAACCAACCTAATAATCTCAGACATGATTTTGGCAATCCTAACACATACTGTAAATGTAAAAATGTGAGTTTTTTTGTTTGTTACGATTTCACACCTTAAGTACTCAAACGATAACCATGAAATTTTGTACACACATTATCAGGGGTACATAAAAGGACATAGGGTGATTTTATCCACAAAAAAAAATAGTTTTATGTGGTCAACGATAATTTTTGACACGTATTTACGGCATCAACAAATGCGAAACCGCAGGTAAAACCCACTTTTAATATAAACCAAAATTAAATAACAATTGCTAACCTTTTCACTAAGTCTCCCAATAAATTAACTTAATGTAATAAGGGGTGAATAAAAACCACGGCTTCTGATAATTCTTCTAGGTACTAGGACATTCTTGTATGTACTTATGACAGTGAAAAACAATACTTACAATTAGCTGTAGTGCTGCAACCTACTTAGTGTCTACTAGACATTTTCTAACATACAATCGATAATTTATGTAGGTACTAACAGTTCCGTTAGAAACCACTTCTGAACAACTAAAAGAGATTGTATTGAACAAATCTTCAAGCGGCGACGAGGGTCAGAAACCAAAAGAAGAACAGGCAACCGAGTCATTCAACTCTTTACTTTAAAAAGTATGTACTATCAGTTCATTCTCGTTCACGAGCATTGTCTGAGTTATGTTTTAAGGTTTTATACCTTCCAGTTTCCTAGCATACGAGGAAATGTTATCACATTTATGATTACATTAGCATATAATTCTAGTGACATGAAAATACGTACCTACTTCGGTCAACTGTGAATCTAATTTGAAGAAGAAGTGTTGTTTAGGAGGTACTCCTTCTTTTCTGTACTCAACTATAAAATAATTCACCTTCTAAAGCCGAAATGTCGGAAATCCCTTCCCAAAATTGAATCAATTTCATTTTAAGCTTTTGACGTAAGTTTCATTCTTATAAACTGCATCTCATTCTGTTTGATATTGCTAGTATTATTTTCGTAGCCAAAAGAACCATCACAATTAAGTGCATTTAGGAAAATTATATTGCATAATCTTTAAGTGTATAATACAAGTACATATCTCGATGACATGTCGAAATAATTGAACCAATGACCCAAAGAGGGTAGAGGTGGATTTTTTTTATTTACATATACGTACATTTTACATTACAACACACAATACGAAAAGGTTCTTTATCTGTTTAATAAATAGGTACACGTCGATGTAAACATTTCCATTACATAATAGATGAAGTATTCGCATACTTATGTCTAAAATCCATTAAAGATCTTGTCAGAGTTACAAAAGCTTCTTTATCTTCATTACGGTGCTTAATAAACCTGATTATGCAAAAGTGTATGTAAAAGTTACTCTTTAATATGGCGTGCTAATGATATCAAACAAGATCAAAATCGTTATCCATATCTGATAGTTTCAATAAATTATTGACCAAAAACAACAACAGTCCGTTCTTATTAAGCATCAGGACACAAAATTTCTCCTAAAGAGAATAATTTCTCTCAAATAGCTAACAGTATCGAGCATTCGAAACCTTACTACATCATTTGAAACTCAGCTCCATTTAACGTTGCTCTCATTTTAATACAAATAGGGAACTACAGTTCCTATATGAAATATATATAAGCTTAATGTAAATGCTAATACGACACAGATTTGCTTTAAAAAAGTTTTTTTGTTGTCCCTATTTATGGTGGAAATGTAGAACATTGAAACTTCCCGTGCGTAGATTCAGATGTCTGATTAACTGTTTTCATTTTCTTTTTGTATACGTATAAGAGACTGTATCACTATTAAAAAAAAATGGACCATACAAATAAATCCCATAGGATTTGTATATAAGAACCCATTCAGTGAAGTTAGCCCACCTGCTTAAAATAAAGAATATCAAAAGACAAAATGTTTGGTTTTAGTTTCTCATTATTATATTAAAACTTAACTTAGCCTGTCATACACTTTTCCAAAATCTTCTACAAATTCTCCAAAATTAGATACAATATTAATTTTATTTGTAAAAGTACTGCAGCTTTTTTCTAATCGTTTGGTTTGCTAATTATGCTTGTAAGTACCCAATTACCTTATTAATCAGCTAATTTGAACACATTTATCGTAACGTTAGTAGTCAACGGATAAAAATACGCAGACTCAAAGCTCATCAATAATCAAAAACATACAATCTGAACCTCTTTCCAAAACTGTATAAAATTCAAGTTTAAAAAAACCGGCAAATAACCGATTGCTGTGAAAATCTACTACATTTAAATAAGGAAAATTATAAAAAAAAAATAATGATGACGACAGAACAAGTCAAAGAAGCCACAAAGCGAGCAATGGCAAAATGCATGCTTTAAAAGAAGTTCAAGTTTAAAACGTTAACTTGTATTGAACTAATATCACCGTAGAATCCATAAAACGCTAAAGGATTCTCGTACACTTATATACAATGCTTAGTGGTTCTTGTTAGACTTAATTTATTACTTTGACGCGAGTGCATTTGGCCGTTTTATTTAGAAAGGTGGGAGATAGTAACGCTGGTCGAAGCGAGAAACCCGCTCAGCGCTACAAGTTTGTTAAGTGGCAGTGCAACGAACGATTGTTCTTCGATGAAATTTGAGGTAAGTTTTCATTAAACTCATACACATAAATTTATTTGTAATTTAATAAAAAACTGCAAATAACGAATTAATCAGGTTATGAAACAGATTCACTTGTTCTTATTCAAGTATTAATTTAGAAAATTGCTTAAAAATTGTTAATTAAAACGCATTAAAATATTCAGTACTTTCAAACCAAGACGATGTTAACCTTGTAAATGCCTATATAATATGACTATCATATTGTTTAAAATACCTCATAAACCACGGATTTCGTGATTCGGAAGACAATGAATCTGATATTTTATCAATACCATACCGTGGTTGTTTCCAAACTAATTAACAATAATAAACAAAGAAGATTAAACTTTATTGTCTGATATAAATAAGAAAACTTCATGGTATCCTTTAGTAAAAATTAAACTGCAGTTGTGTTTTATCAGTTGTTAAAACAACCGTCAGTATTAGTTTTATAGTAAAGAATATTTTATTGTAAGTGTTTTTGAACATTTTTCTCGTTTAATATTAATAAATAATTAATCCAAATTAAATCCGATTTTATAAAATATGCTGGTATA